GGGGGGGGAGAAGAAAAAAAATAATAAAGGCCAGCCGGGCTCCGTCCATTATTTGTTCGCGTGCTTCCTGAACATATACATATATATATATATATATATATATATGACAATTTATGACTGTACATAGGTGCTATTCGAAGGTTTTTGGTGTTGAGGTCGTGTCTCGGTATTTCGGTACATGCTTTTACTGCTCGAGCTGAGGCATGACCACTGACTTCGTAGCATGATGTTCGGCGATCTCATCGTTTCATTGTGTTATCGTAGTATCATCCTGTGTCTTCTTTCGTGACATCCAACTAGTACAATGTCAATGCATTTTCCTGCCACGACAAGATGTTGCTGTCCTACTCCTACACCACTCCGCTGCATCGGCAGTGTGCTGCTAAATACCTCTCCAATGCCAGAGACTGCTTCCGGAACAGTCTCGGTGTGGATTTGAAAACCACGCTGATACTGTGCAAAGCGGTGTTTATCCCGAACCTATGCGACGGAATTGACTGCTTGCCCCGGTTATAAGCATTTAGTTATATTGCGGGCCTTAGGGACTGCTAGCTGCAAAAAGCATCAAATGTCACCCGAAATGCGCTCGCCTGCTTGGATCCAAGCAAGGCGTCAAGCAAGCACTTGCTCTGGCAATGTATCCTGCAACTAAGTGCAGCTGGGCAGCTGCCGTGCCTGCTGCATCACCTTGGACTGATCCAGTAGATGATAAACCGACATTCCGTCAGTGCCCCAAAACATGTATTTCCGACTAAGTGACTGTTGTCACTAATACCTCTTGTGCCCCGTGCCCTGGGCCTCCGATTAAGCGAGACGTGACTTGTTAGATGGAATCTTAGTACGAAACTGCGTCAGTCCTTGATGCCTGAAATTGAGAACCTCAGCATGTACGCAGCTTAGTGGCTAGTACTGAGTACGTTACCTGCAAAGCTGTTGCACAGCAAAGACAAATTCTGCCACAGGTGCTTTCCGAGTCCAGCTCGGTTCCCGACCTGAGATGCTTCTCGTTTCCGCAGTATCACACCCTCCCAAGCAGCTTGATGCCAAGGTGCGAAGCTTCTGCGGTGAACTCATCCAGGCCTACTGCTTGCAGATCGCGTTCAGCCTTGACTGCTGCGGAAAACAAACTACGCCAACCAGAGGACCAAAAGAAACAGCCGGTCATCATACGGTCGCAACGGGAGAGTGCAATCAAGCTGCGTTGGTTGCCGTGTGGTGCATCGGGGGTCCAGAAACTGCAATCCCGACAAAGAATATGAGAGCCAAGGCCTCAAAAGCAGTTCAGCCAATTGCAAGAACCTCCAAATGTCATTTTCAAGCTGCGAACGTGACTGTAGCAAACTGCAAATACGAAAAAACAGCAAGCACATCATCCTGCTTGGACACGCATGAGTACGATGGCTCGAAACTTGGACTTGGATTGTTCAACCTCAGACGAGGTCAACACGGATAGCGACACCGCTGCAAGCACCGCTCGTCGAAGCACCTGCACTTGCAACCCGAGCAGAAAGCTCGCAGTCAAGCTGTCTTGCTCCCACGCCGCGCAAGGCCATTCAAGACACGGCATTCAACGACTGACATTGGGAAAATGTACAACGAGGTAATAGCATGCAAGACGTCTTCGACTGACAGATGTACCCGTGCATCCACGTGCCTTAGGACTGGGAGAATCGCATGACTGCAAAGTCCTGCATTCCTGCGAAGCAATCAGAGGTGTCAACATTCATAAAGCAAGGAAACGACATTGCGATTACACTCGTATCTCGCATTGACAAGCCTGGTGTCGACTGCCGTCTGCGCTCGATGCTGCCTGTCCAACTCAAGAAGGACTCGCACACCGAGAACACTTCAAATGCTGCACCATGTTCAGCCACGAGGAAACGCATATTCGTTATACGACGAACGGGAACGAGTCCAATGCAACAAATGGTCTTCCAGCTCCGAATGCCTCTACGTCGGTGTCAGGACCTGAACATATGCACGAAGCGGGCAGCAATCTGCTTCGCAAGCTCTGCCACAAACCACTGTAATTCCCTCAAACACAACGACATTGCCGAATGATTCTGTGTTCGTCCGTGTTCAACTTGGCCCGAATCTCATCCAAGGCCCCATCACAAAATTGGAACTTCATCTGGTTGTCTCGCCATGCGAAGCACCTGAGCACGAGTCGGCACAAACCACTTCCGAGGCAGCCGTGTCTGCTGCGTTTTCAGGCGTGCTTTGCGCATCCTTGTGGCCGTGCTGGTGCTGCAAAACTTGCTGCCAAGGCCTGCACCAGCGTTCCAGACCCAGCAGCTTATGCCCAAAACCCCGCTGAAACTGCTTGGGCCTGCCACAAATCAGTCAAGGATCAATTTCACCCGGCACAGAACACTTGTGGATCAAAGCCAACCACGGCAGCTTGGGTTCACAAGTTCAGGAAGCAGGGCGACTCTGTGCCAAAGAATGTCCAACAGAACAGACACACTAAAGCCAAGCACCGTCTGCAGGAAGATTTCACAACCGACTCCAAAGCGCGTATCACACAAGTAGGTTCAAAACATTTTCTTGACCTCCGCCAAACAAACGCAATAGATTTGCATATTAAAACCAAAACTTTCAATCCAACTAGCGTGCAATCACTGGGCCGCCTTCATTGTCCAAGATGCTGGCTCAAGCCAACGACAAAAAGGTGTCAGATGTCTTCTACGGGCGAACGACCAGTGCAAGCTGGCCATGGACTGCGCCTTTTGCCAAAGCTAACATCCGGGTTTCGATGATGTTCCTTCTGTTGACAGGGGCACACCATTCAATCTGTTGGACCTCAACCTTGGTGAAACGACAACTGTAGGTTGTAATCTAGTAGCTTTCGAACTCGTTGTTGGGGGTTTGCCGTTTTTAGTTTTGATGAGGACCACAGCGGCAACCTGCCGAAAGACCCCGTGTTTGGATGTTTGGTAATTTACATTCTTGTTTGGGAACTAACTCAAGTTTTGAGACTTTGAAAACCACTTAAACATGATTCTGACTGTGCAGAAATCATATGTTGCACCAAACACAAAAGAGGTGGGACCAGTTATCATCTTACGTGCAGTATGCACTGGCTGTCCTAGTGAAAAGGCTGCGCCGGAAGCGGTGCGGATCGGAAAGCCGCCCACTTCTACTGGACCAGAGTTGGAACCGGAAATGCATCCGGAACACCACAGAAGTCATCTCACACAGTAGACTTGGTTGACACATTCAGGCACGACTGGACAACCAAACACCATGAACGGCAGAGTGTCCAAAATCGACGTGTCGCCCATCCACAATCCAACAATGTGTTTTTTTTTGCGTGGTTAGGCCTCGTCGACGGCGGCTGCCGCACTCGGTCCTAAG